TGCATAAGTGGGAACGTGATAGAATCCGTGCGAATCACGACCTGCATGACACCATAAATCCGAGACAGTTCGAATTAAATGTTAACTACCGGTCACACAGTGGAATTCTTCGACTTGCTTCGTCGGTGACTGATCTCATCCATGAATTTTTCCCTGATTCTATAGATCATTTATCACGTGAGCGTGGTGAAGTGGGAGGTCCGCGGCCTATCATTTTTAATGGATTTCGGGCAGATACTTTTCTTTTCGATGTCTTTTCTGTGGGCAAGAACGTAGGCAATTATATCGAATTTGGTGCTGAGCAAGTCATTATTGTACGTAATGATGATACTAAAAAGAAAGTTAAGGAACAAATTAAAGGTGGTGGATTAGTAATGACAGTATTTGAAGCTAAGGGCATGGAATTTAGTGATGTACTATTGTACAATTTCTTTACCGATTCTCCAGCTGGACTAAAGGTACTGTTTTGTGATTGTATTATAAACATATACAATACTTATTGAACATCTTTTGGATTATCATTTCAGTGGCGAGTAATTGAGGGTATTCGGGATTTCTCTCACGAGAATCACTATATTCTTTGCTCGGAACTCAAGCACCTTTATGTCGCAGTCACGAGGGCGCGGCAGCATATATGGATATTTGATGAAAATGATTGTCCAATCCGAACGTACTGGGAACGTCAAGGATTGGTGAAAGTAGTAGGGAGTAAAGAAGAAATCAGTACTCTTCCAACCTTAGCCAAAAAGAGTAGTTCACATGAGTGGAATAAACGAGGCAAAGAATTTTTTGAACAGAAACAGTTTGACCAGGTTCAATAATCTTTGAATGTTCAATTTCAAATAATAAACTGGACTAAGTCAAACGAAAATACCTTCAGGCTATTTTATGCTTTGAAAAAAGCGGAAACGAACCACATCGCAAACTCGCAAACGCATGGCTTCTTAAGCAAGAAGCTGAGGATTCAATAAATAGTTCTGATAGGGTCACCGTAAAATCCCTTTTTATTCGCGCCGCTCTTGCCTTCAAAGATTGTTCTAAACCAGTTCAGGCTGCTACATGTTATCGAGTAAAATCTTTTTTTTTTTTTTTTTGTTTTTTGTTTTCGCATTTTATAATTGTTGAAATTCAAAATAATCCAGAATGCCGAAAAATATAAAGAGGCTGGCGATATATATTGTGAATGGAATATGTACACTGAAGCCGTTATTGCATACAAAGACGGTGGCTGTTTTAAAACCGTGATTGATTTATTACAAAAGTATGTCCACCACATCATCGCTCTATATAGACCTTAAAAAATACCAGTACAATTAAGATTATTGTCTATTAATAAGGCACAAATCAGAAATAGATGAGAAAATATTCTACCGCATTACCCGTCTTGTCAATATTCATTACCGCCGAGAGAATAATAGGGTGATGAGCAAGAAGGCTCTTGATATTCTTCCAAAACAAGAGCAAATTGAACTCTTGCGGGACCATGCGCCGGAAGAACTTTTAGAGGTTTGTGAAAAAAGCGGCGAGTTTCGTGTTGCTGCTAAAGATCTACGCTTGCGTGGCAAGTTCAAAGAAGCTGCCGATCTATTCATCACTTCAGGCAGTGATAAAGATGTCATCGAAGCATTACAATGCCTCTTGCATTTATGCCGATCAAATATACTAAACAAAACAATGATGGATATCTCGAGTTCAAGTACAATACAGGATTTACACTGTTTGATTTTAAAGATAAACAAAATTGTTACCAAAACAAAATCGAAAACGCTAATTAAATCCAAGCTATGGAAAAAACTAGTGAAAGAGTTTAGGCTATACGAAGGTTATTTAAATTTGGATCTCAATAAAATTGGTGAATGTGTACAATTTTTCAGAATGTGCAGAGAACTTGTTGCCGAGTTTCGAGCAGTAAGCATATGGTTGCATATTCACCAACAAATGAATTTTCACGCTGAATCCTGGCGCAAACGGTTACTATATCTACTAAGGCTATGTGAATTAGCTTTCTCTTTTATAGCCCCACATAGAAATATCGAAAACGTTGGGAAAATATATAAGGATTTTGAAGACATCTTCTTTGTAAATGAAGTGGAGGATCGCCCACAAAAACGGAAAATTTCTCCTGACAGTCCACTTATTCACTTCATGAATGGAATGAATGGCGACAATGATGCAGAGGGAACTTTGGAAGTCACGGATGATCGACATGTCTATGATGTTGAATTTGTGCGCCTGAAAATTTCAAAATTCCTTGCTTCATATATTTTTAAACTTATTTGGAATATTTACAAGGATGGTAAAAATATTCTAGAAATAGGTTCGCGAATCTGCCCCAAGTTTGCATCGTGTCAAAATACAGCTTGTAGAAATCATCATGTGATACCAACACCAGAAATTTTATACGAACGCGTATCACTTGCATGCCTTCAGTACATTGTAATGCGAAAATTAGATGTTTTATACTCTCGTCGTCTGCTTAAAGAAGAGCAAAGCAAGGAAATTCGTGGCCCACAAAGACGATGGACAGAAAATCTTGTTAAATTACATATTCGATATCAATCACCACAAACTAGCTGCCCAGAAATCACTTATATGGTGCTTAACAAACTACCTAGATATACTCGTTATGGATTTAGCAATCTTGCCAAGATATGGTTAGAAAATTGTGTCAGCAATTTTAAGACCATGCTAAAATGCATGTTCGTTTTTCAGCAGCAGCGGGACTATTTTGGCATTCAAGATTTCTATCAGAAAATGACAACAATCGAACAGCTTTCACATCCTGAAAATTTGCCCCATGGGTTTGAATACTATCATGGATATTACCAAGCAATCCCTGTTGGAAAGAGACTTTCATCATTCTTTTATTATCTACGACGCAATCGTGTAATTGATGCGATATTTGAAGTAAAGGCGTTTATACGATACACTATAAACAAAGCTGAATATGTAAATATGAAGACGCATGAGGCTTTTGCAGACCTTGTAACTCTTGTAGAGTTCTCGACGTCTTTGGTTTTTGCGATTGGTCCTGGGTATTGCGATTTTTGTCTTCCACGATCCTATCTGGTTAATTATTTCAATGCGTTCAAAGTGGAACCACTCCTTCCAAGCCAACACAACACATACAATAGAGCAGATTATCTTGATGCACTTAGGAACTCTTTTGACCAAATTGAACAACTTCTGTATCTATTAATTTATAGAAGAAAGTCATATCAAATCATTGTCCTTCGACTATTACGACTTTTGGTTCTTATCGGTCTTAACGAACACACCTTAAGATCAATGGTTTTGGAGCTTTTTAAACGTCTGAATAACCAATCTCAAGCACAAATTATGGACTTTCAGAAATATCTAATGGAGAGAGAAATAAGTCGCCTTGTTGGCATTATGAAAAATGATCTAATAGAGACAGAGTGTGACTCTCTAGTTATTGTCCATTATCGCTGGGGAGGTGTGTCAAAGTTTTCTGGCTTGGAAAAGTTTGGAATCATGAGGCTTGTATATAATTCTATTGAAGGATTTCGGTCTTCTCTCCATAAGATAATGTCCCCGGTAGTTGCTGAGAAAAGGTCCACTACTAGGTTTTCAACAAAGGAATTGTTACCGTTGCAATTTAATACGAAATCCACCACCTCCGTTGATGACGATGACAATGATGACACCTCTGTTGAAAGTGAGGATAACGAAGAAAAAGAACAATTAATTTCAACCCGATTTTACCAGATTCTTGGTTCACCAAGGGCCCAAAAGGCAATCAAAACAATTAAAGACTGGCTTTTCCGAGTTCTCGATCGACAGAAGTCCCGTCATCGTTGTGATCATATTCTTGATAAAGTTTATAGCGATATGCAGACGTTTTGCCAAGATTTATCACATTGGGAGGCCATCTTGAAAGAAAAGGAAAAACAAAAAGTATTGCGCATTTATAAGATTCTCTTGAGAGGTCAAACAGTAGATATTATTGTGAACTTGATTAAGTTGCAGGGAAAAATGGATTCGATTAAAGATAAGCTACACAAATCAGTCAATAACTTTTCAGAAGATGACAAGATCGAAAATTGTTTGGAACTACTAGATGAGCTTAAGTTTGTTAATTCTTTTATAATGTATATACAATATCTTTTCTTTTACTATATAGCTAATTGAAAATTTTGTTTTAGGTACGTCCACTATGAAAATGTTAAACTATCATTAGAGTCGTTGTCGACTGAAAACATAGATAAGCACAAAGAAGCAAATATTGGGTGGCTAAAAAATGAATTGTTGCAGGCGGAGTGTTTCATCGATCAAGTTTTAGAATGGACAGATAAATGCAACTTTGTCATGAAGTCTGGATGAGATTATGGATTTATATTTTCTCTTATGTCGTTATGTCGATTAGTTAGAGAACATGTTGAGATTTTATTCCTGTCTTTTCTTTTCTTTTTTTTTCTTTTTTTTTTTCTGAAAGTAATATATATTAAATATTCATAATATTATTTGGTCAATTATATAATTTGTTTGTTTCTTGTCGTATCTGTTTATTAGTGCGATCACAAATCGACAAAGTCGAACGATCTGGGCATTAAGCTATTTTGTATTTACGTATTTGTATCGTTAACGTAATTGCATAATTTTTTAAGATTTACATCGTTAAAAATTTTTGTACAAGAAACATCAAGGATGAACTTGTCAGTAAAAAAAATTCCGGATCAAAATTAGGTGCGCATTGCCCACTAAATTTTAAATTTGGTGTGCACTTTGCACCTTAATTTTAAATTCAATGTTTAAGCATCTATAGTTTGGACTAATATTTTATTATATAATTATAAATACTTGTAATGTAATTTGGTATTAGGCCATATAAAAAAAAATTCTTGGTTTTCATAACCCGGCCGGGTCAAAATTTGAAAACTTGTAAAAAATTTTTTTTATATGTTTTAATAACCGGGTAGGTTTTTAAAAAAAATTTTAAAATAATTTATAAATTTTTATATATAAAATTTTTAAAAAAAAAGCCGGCCGGGTCAGTTTAAACAGCTCTGTTATGAAAACCAAAAAAATTTTTTTGTATAGCCTTAACAATAATTTTTTTTAAAAATAAATATATAAATTTAAAAATCTTTATTCTTTAATATATTTTCATAATTATTTTATGTCGCAGCTGATGCTGGAATCGGTAGATGCTGAAATTTGGACCTATTTTGATATGAAAATTTTCAAATTTCTTGGGATGTTTTTTTTAGGGTTAGAGAGTTAGAATTGACAATTAAAGAGTATATATGGGCTTTGCAGTAGAAAGAGCCTAAATGCTATATATAATATATATAGCATTTACTGCAAAGACCCTAAATGTGGATTTTAGCAGGGCTTATATTGTCAAATCGCGACTCCAAATTTCAGCACCAGCCACGACAATGAATAAGTAGATGGATTTAGATCTCTTGTTTTGATTGAAATAAATGGATAGATAAGTAAATAGATTTTTAGCTTAATATTATATTTATTATATATTGTCGCGTCTGATGCTGATACTGAAATTTGGGGTCGCGATTTGAAAATATAAGCCCCGCTAAAATCCACGTATGGGATCTACATTTTCCGTAATTCGGAACATTTTAGACATATAAATCATTTTTTGCCTTATTGATTCAATAGCTTATCGAATGAACATTTGAATAAATAAAGGCAAAAATGTTTTACATGCAAATAAGTACTGGTATATTGGTTTGAATTTGTCCGAATTAGCCCGATCGGAAATTGTCGAAGACTGATTTTCCTAGCAAAGATCCCATACACTCTAATTCTAAACCCTAACCTAACCCTAAAAAAAAGGACAAAAACTCCCCCAAAAAATTTTAAAAATTCATATCAAAATTTCAGCATCATCTGCGACGATTAATTTAGTCGAAGATTTTTTAAAATAAAAATTATGGTTCACATCCTGCTAAATAATCATTGACTCTCTTTAAGTTGCATGCTCCTAAATAACGCCCGGGCGTTATTCTAGGTAGAGCTGTTAATGGAGTACTCATACTAAAGATTGGACCCGTCAAGAAAATTTCTACCCGGGTATTGTTAAATTATCCGGATATCCGGGTAATTTATTATACCCACACAGTATAATAAAAATGTCTATCTGGATACAACCACTAACTCAGACTATAATAAAACATATAACTTGTTTCGGGAGTGCTTCGGAGTGGGTTATAGGTTTTTATTATTGACTGGAGCACTCCATTAATAACCCTAATTCTAGGTAAATACGGTAATAGAGGATTTTGAATGAATATCGAATTCATGATCAATAGATTGTATATGATTAGTTAGGGATTGGAACCGTTTAACCGTTTAAAAGTTGCTCCATAGTTCCGAGCGGAATTATGTTGGTCGTGAGTAGGGTTGTTAAATTACCGTAATTTTGCGTAATTTTATGTACGTACGTAGGTTTTGGTAAAACGGTTTCCATGTAATTAGTAAAAAGGTTTGAAACTCGCAAAATTACACAAAATTACATGAAAATGTAAGATTGTAAAATGTAATTTTCAACCCTAGTCGTGAGCTGGAATTATTTTAATGCCGGCCAAATTAAACAATTAAACGATTAAACGGTTAAACGATTAAGAAAAATTTTAGGCGGTTCCAATCCCTAATATGAGTGACACCACGCCAAAAGTTCGGGATTTAAGTAATTCATGCACGTGACTCTTACGTAATTTTCAACTGCTAGTAACGATAATTATTATGTCCGGGAACTATACGCGGGCAAGTTTATATACAAAGATTAACAGTATTTGACATAGTGAGTTTAGCCGCTCGGGAAATAACAACTCGGGATTCCTTAATCTTACATTTTAATACTTATTTGATTTTAATTTCATGCAAATAACAAATCTACGTATTACATATTTAAAATGTAAAAGAAATTTTACCCAATAATGTTAAGGATATCTTGCAGTATAGGTGACACCATTAATAAAGTATATTACCGTATAAATCCGAAATAACGCCCACCTGCGCGTTAATTAATTGACCTGCGCGTTATTTCAAGTACGCCCATATGCGTTATTTCGAAATATAGGTTAAATAAATAACCCTTACTCGTAATAAATATATATAGTAAGAAATAAAAAGTGCACCGGAACTGGGTTTGGTACTAAGTAAACTTGCTTTAATGATCTAACAAAAGTTCTTCATACTAAGACGATTCTAACGATGGTAAAATTATCATAAATGGCCCAGTTTATTTAGTATCAAATCCAGTTCCAATGCACGGTTTATTTTATTTTATTTTTTTATGGAGGGATGCGCGTTAATTCGGAACGCACATGGGCGTTAATTCGAAAATGCATATGCTATTTTTGAAAGTCCTGATTTTCAAAATAACGCCCATAGACGTTCTACCTAACCAAATTCAATTAATTTTGTTTTTATTTTAATTCTTCATGCCTTTGAATCAAAATAAACAAAAAGTTCAATAAATTTGATTAGATAGTTGCTAAGATATCTTTACTCAAATTCTTGAAAAAATTTTGTTACAGATATTTTTACTGATCATCATAGAGTCGATTTACTACGTGTACGTTTTAATATGTTTCATAAAATTTAGCTAGCAAAGAATAATTTTTACAATTTGACTAAATTATAAATTCAATTATCATTTTAATATTGGTTAAAAAAGCAAATTAATCAAATTTAAGCAATTTTTTAATAATTTTTCACAAAGTGATAATAAAAATATCTGTTCTGAGTTCCTGACTTACGGACACCCTTGGGGTAGCCCAAACTCGTGCAGAGGCCTATTTATTGGTAGTTTATAGTGTTGATAAAGTTTTATAGTTATCAAGACACGTTGTGGAGATAATGTTGCATACATCAAGTCCACACATATATATACATATCAATATATTTTAAAAAAAAATTTACTAATAATGGACAAAAATTACATAGATACAAATGTACATATATGCATGAAAAGCAAAAAGAACGAAACTATACAAAATTATGGAATCCCATATATACAGTATAACGAAACTCAAATAAGTACAATAATATGAAAATTGGAACATTAAAGGTGATTTTGAACATTGCGTTTTGGTGGTTTAACTAAGGATGATGGCCTTGGATGTCCATATTGTGTTTCATGTAAACCGCATTTGTTGCCTTATAAGTTAAAAGTAATGAGGGAAAAACATATGTGAACGAAGAAGTCAGAAATATCAGACGGAATGAAGTACTTACATAAAGTACCATTTTTCCTCCAGCAAGTTGATTCTTTAACGCCACAATTCTTACAAACGCGTTGTTTTTTTGGTCGTTTATATTTAAGAGTACCACATTTGATCTGATCTGTTGGTCTATTCCTACCATGAGTCTTAAAACTACGAAATAAAATAAAATAAAATAAATAAAATAAATAAAATGAATAAAATAAACTAGATGATAATTAAAATTTTGAAATTAAAAAGTTAATAATATACTATAATCCGCAGGCATTGCAGAGAAGTTTTCCAAGATCATCTCTCCTCCAGGCTGGTGATTTAGAGGTATTACAATTTACACAATGATTACGAGCTGATATGTGAGGATTTGATAAAATTTCAATGATCTGAGGGTGATAATCTACAGAAGCAGCCATTCTATCTTCGGCCTCCCATTGCTTCAAGAGGCTAAAAATAAATGTAAACAAGCCAGTAAAGAAGACATAGAGGATTATATGATTCATCATAATTCTTCATAATTCTTCATTTAATGATAAGACCAATATCTAGTACTAATATTATAATAAATATTTAACGTACGATATTGCTTTATCTATTGGGATTAAACCAGCTTTTACAAAATCTTCGACAGTTAAATCAAGCATCCAATCTTCAAATATAATTTCTTGACCGTCACTTAATGGTATCCTTGCTGGGGGGACAGTTGTAATGGGCGTGAATGACAAATTAGAGTATTCAAAATTAACGCTCATAGCAACGTTCACGTTATTAAATAAGAATAGGATCAATGAGATCAAATTGTTTTTAAGAAAATAGAGAATATATATATATATATATGTATATATATATGTGTTTGATGAAAGAGCACTGCGGTCCTTATATATTTCTTTTGATGCATTTTCCTATAGAAATCTTATTATTATTTCAATACATGTTCGCAGAGGC